CCAAGCCGCGGATCCTCTGCAGCTCCTGATCGAGGCGGGGGATGCGCCGCAGACAGCCGACCTCCCGGAGAATGACTCGGGTACAATCTCGGATGATAGGCGGAGGATCAGGCAACCTACCCCGAGGCCGGGGGCGGGGGCGAGGCCCACACCACCGCCGCGGGGGAGATCCCCACGGCGGAGGCAGATATGTCCGACGAGAGCGAGGAGGCTGGCGGGGAGGCTGGCGGGGAGGGAGAGGGGGAGGGGTCGGTTGCGGAGGCGTTGAACGGAAGTAGCTCCGGGGGAGACGAGGCGCTCGAGGAGTGGCGCGCGAGGCTGCTGGAGCAGGTGTCGCAGATTGGGGGAGGAGGAGAGAGCTAGCCTGCCATTCAGGGTTCTTGTTGTTGTTGGCTCCTAAAAAATCTCTCTCTTAAGGGTTATGTATGTAAAAAAAGGAGTAGGAGAGGGCAAAAGATTTCGTCAAGGGCAAGGCGAAATAAAAACGTATAAACGAATCGCGGCCCGCGGGAGCGGCCGCACATTGCTCGGCCACCGTCTGGCGAAACGAATCGGCCCGGAGCGGCCGCACATTGCTCAGTACCCCCCCCTTTGAAGCACAAAGCACTAGCACCCGGCCGCTACCCAAACTGTAGATCGCGATTTTTTTCGAGGTCAGACCCATTCATGCCTGCACCCTGGCACCACCGACTGTGGACGGTCCGTCCGACGTCCGGTAACCGTCGCCGCATCGCCCTCGCGACTCAAGGTGCGCGCTGCGTGACCGCCGTGAGCTGCCCTCCCGACCCATGTAAAAAAATCCGCCATCTCCCCTCTCAGTGAGCCGGGAGAGCGCTCCGGGCACCTCCGGGCAGCCGTCTCCCCGCCACGAAAGCTCTGCCGAGAGCGCCGTTCCCATGGGCGGCGTTCCCGAACCATTCGTAGGCGCCGCGCGGCATTGCCAATGCTCCATCGACGCGGTGCAGGCGGCCCCAAGCCAAAGGGGTGGACACGTGCCGCCAACAACGCCTTCCTAATCCACTTTGGTGTGCGCACGGGCGGTGCTCCAGTGGACGCCACTGCCGACGGCGCCGCCGCCGACCCGCCCGCCGCCGACCCTCCCACCGAGGAGGTCGACGGAGCTGCAGACCCAGCGATGCAGTCCGAGGCCGCCGCTCCGGCGGCAGAGGCTGACGTCCCGATGGCGCAAGCGCTGAGCGATGCCGAGCTTTCATCAGATCACGAGCACGAGGAGCAGCCGCTGCTCCATGAGCAGCGGCTTGCAACAGTCAACCAGGAGCAGGCACGGCTTGAGGCGCTGCGTTGGACCGAGGAAGAGGTGGCTTTGTGAATGAGTTGGGGGGGTGTGAAGGAGGACTTGATCTAGGCTGGAGATTGCACGTGGAGCACTTGGAGGCGCTAGAAGGAGTTCGAGGAGGAGCGTGCGGGCTACATGGAGGAGACCTCGTGCGACGAGTCCGAGGACGAGGACGAGGACGAGAGCGACGGCGAGGCGCCCGCACCCGCCCCCGCCCCCGCACCCGCACCTGCACCCGCGCAGCGTGCAGGGAAGCGTAAGGCTGCACCGCCTCGAGCACCGCCGACGCGCCCGCCAGACAGCAGTGATGACGATGGCCCATCATTGCATGCGCCAGCACCGGCGCGGGCAGGGCGGGGGGCCAAGCCGGCAGCCAAGGGGTCCGCACGGCGCAAGCCGCCAGCAGCCAAGCCAGCAGCCAAGCCAGTAGCGGCCATGTCGAAGCGTCAGCGACGGAAGTGATCTGTACACACTGCATGAGTATGAATCGTGTGTGTGTGTGTGTGTGTGTGTGTGTGTGTGTGTGTGTGTGTGTGTGTGTGTGTGTGTGTGTACTATTGTACGAGATTTCTACATTGCGCTCTAGACGGGGGCTCTTGGGCAGCAGCTCACAGCCTATTTTTGGTCGGTTTTTGGCGCTAAAAATGCAAAATTTTCTTCGCGGGGCTCTGCCCCGCACCCCGCTGGGGCTGCCAGCCCCAGACCCCAGGCTGGGGCTCCGCCCCAGACCCCGAGTTAGGCGCTGTCGGCGGCCAGAGGCCGAGTTACGTCTGCAGGCAAAAGTCGCTCGCTGCCGTCTGAGCTCGAAAAAAATCGCGATTCAAGTGCTCAAGAAGAGATAAACAAACCTCACGATCGCCAGTCCGCCCGCCGCGCAGAAGGCGCATCTTACGTTCTTTCTTTTCTCGCGGGAGTCATTTAGTTCGCCGCTCTGTGTATCTCGAGACCTCGAGAGAAGGCCGCCCGCAGGCCCGAGGGCCCAAGTCAAGAATTGGCTTTCTTTTGGCGGGCAAGTCGCTTAGGCTCCCGTGGTGTACCTGTGTTAGTACCAGTGCGCGCCAGTCCCGTGCCCAGTGTGATGCGACATCCCTGTAAAATTCTTTTTTGACACGATTGTTAAAATAAAATCCCTGGCACCAGCCTTGGCAGTGAGTTGGCCTTGGCACCAGCCTTGGCGGGCGGGCACGCGGGACATGCACGGGCGCCAAGGGGCGCGGCGCCGACAATCACGGCGGTGATTGCGGCGCAGGTGGGGGGACGGGAAGTCCGCCGGCGTTGCCGGGGGCCCAAGGAAGCGCGAGGGAAAAATTCCGCCGCTGAGGGCGCTCGTGCGGCAATAGCCGGGTGGAGGGGGGAGCGTGCCGGACGGGGCGTCGTCGCGCCGTCCGATGGTCTGCTGCCCCGCGCAGCAACCGTCGGGCGACGACCCGGGGGCCAAAAACCCGGCGACGACGGCGCTCTGGATGGGGCGTGACCTCCTGCCTCCAACCTCCTTCCTTTTTGAGCAGGTGTGACGCCGCGCAAGCGACGCTCCGAGATCGCCCGAGATAGCGCGGCGCAGCCCCGAGATCGCCCGAGATAGCGCGAGATCGCCCGAGATAGCGCGGCGCGGCCCCGAGATCGCCCGAGATCGCGCGAGATCGCCCGAGATCGCGCGGCGCGGCCCGGGGCGGGGTGGATGGGTTGGGAGCGAGGGGGCGGAAGTGTTCAGTGCGGTAGATGGCGAGCTCGAGGCGCGTGAGCCGGACTTGTGAGCCGGACCACCCCCTCTTGTTCTCTGCGTTGTTGAGCCAGGACTCAACATACTCGGGCTTGCTCATCCCAAACTGTCACTCCCCTCTCTCCCGGCCGGGGTGGGGCGCGCGCGGGGGCGCGGGTGTGCGGCGGGTGTGAGGGATGTCTGTGAGCCCGAGAGCGATATGCCATGTCCGCCTTGCGTTGTTTCATAACATCGAAGGCTAAGCTCAAAATAAAATCGCTGCGCGCTGGGAGGCTCTACCCTGGTACGAACAAATGACC